AGTGATCTGATACACGAAGTTCACTGTGCTGACCTCTCTCGGATCACACGGGTGACAGTCAACACCCCTAGCAACAACTATGGCATACCATATGGAACCATCACAGTTGATCGTGCATTTGAGGATATCAGAGCACAAGCTGACGAGCACTTCTTGACACTGACTCGTGAAGAACAGATCCACCTCGAAGAAACTCGTTGAAGTCACGAGGGGAATCATCGATCTTGTGGGGCAAGCACCGCTGGTTCAGCTGGGATACACAAAGGAATCTACTGACGAAGTGAAACAGATACTGGAAGTTGCGTGCGAAACAGGTCATGAACTCATGTGATTCAGAACTTTCAGGTGACGAGCATGCCTACATGCTACAACAGCTACCATCATTCTCTCTTCACTCAAGCCTACCACTATCTGATTAATGTATAGACGTGTATATGTATAATGTGTACACTCTCTCAATTATGTCGGAACCTGCGCTCCTACACAATTTCTTGTTCAAGAATGTCCAGAGGCTATCAAAGTACACCAAGACACATGATTTTCAGAACTTCCGGTTGAAGGAAGAGTGGTAGTGTTGTGTGTAAATTAGACATACATGCTTCATGTATCGCAAGGGATGACACCTTTGCTCAAGGAGGTGCCCTCTAAGGTAGACCCTCTTATATGAAAACTTAGACTCTGTCGGATTTCAAATCGCACTTTAATTTCGCAAATTGCATAGCAGAGAGGTGTTGCTTTGCCTCTCAAGAGGAGGTTGCAACTTCTGCAGTATTATTCGCTAACAAATGGATCATGCACGATAAACTATTTGCAAGTTTTGCCATAAGAATCCTAGATTTCCTTTTACATTTGATACAGAACACGCACATATGCCCCAAAGAAGTATTCCTCGAACGATTGATACCTGTACATTTAACATATCCCTATCGTGCATTCTCTTATTCATTTTCAAGCAGAATTTACATCACTTCTTATATGTTCGCTGTTAATTGAGATGAATCAATATTGATTTAAATTGAACGAGTAAGTCCAATAGGATTCGAACTTATGCTGGACTTAGTAACCAGCATGGTAGCATTAACACTGAATTTTGGTATTCCTGCTACAACTTCTAGGTTTATTACCTTAACTTTACCGCATCTCTCACTGAAGTAGAAAGGTTAGCATTTTTAATACATCGAGAGTGCATTTTAATATAACGCTATTGCAATCATCGTCCATCAGAAATACATTCCGTATTCATCTTGTGTCCAATTACACAGTTTGATGGGAGTACTTCTCCACATATATGTGGGTGGAACAATTGAATGTTGTTGTCAAGAAGTTCACTGTTAATTTCACATGTTTAAGGGCAGAGGACTTCTGAAACATCCTTCTTGACCTCAAGGAATTCTGTCTCAATTCATTTCGTCAAATCTTCTCGACTTTCTAGCATCCGGCAGTGCACTGATCTGCAATGGCCGCTGTCCAGAATGTCAGTCTGTATGAATCAATTGAGAGCCCTCGTTCCCCCATGGACGAGCTCTGTTTTGTGCTTGACAGCTTACACACCTTCAAATATACATGTCTTCGCACGATGGCAGTTAGCATAAAGCAAATTTCATAGTCAAACACGTGAAGAGGAAAATGTTTAATCCTTTCTTTCAAAACATGAAATATTAGCGGTGGCTTATCATTTCCATCTTCAGCTCTGTGAATGTGAGATAGTGGCAATCCATCATCTCCCTAAATGGATTGGTTCATAGCTTCTTCAAACAAGTCTAGACTTCTCATATGTATTAGGCGATCTTATATATCGTGGCCTAAATTAGTTAAATGGTCCGGTGATTAGGCGCCTAAATGGAGGTTGGTGTGATTTGGTGCTTGCATGTTGCAACCAATGGGAAGGGGACACCTGTGTAAAACTGATGGATATTTTGATATATTATTTCTAAATTAATGTAAAAATAATTTAAAAATAATTTCTACATTTAATTTTTTTAGAGAAAAAACTTTAATAGACTAGATTACATTTTAGAAGTTAAATTAGCCTAAATTTCGTTTTTATTAGATTAAATTAATTTTTTAAGAAAATAAATTAACCATATTTAGGTAATTTTGGCTGTTATAACCATATCTGCATATACCCCTACACAAGAAAGAGAGAAATTGTATCTCCATGGCTCTTTCCCTTCTTCAGCAATATGTTTAACCTACTTCAGAGCTGCTATTTTGAGACCTTGCCCTAATAGCCGCAAGTTTTGTTGAGACCTTTGTTTAACTCTTCTGGACAATTTTCTAGAATCGTGGAGAGCACTGTTTTTGATTTGGCAGCGGTCTAGTGTCGGAAGAATTGTCAGCTCTGACAACTCCCCTAGGTGTAGCCGCAGTGCCCTTATGCAAAAAAGCCCTAGAAAGTTACGAGCTTCCGCTACTTACACACACAGCCATCCAGCCAGCCAGCCACAGCGAAGCGCTCAGGTGGCGCTTACAAGACTTTTTGTACAAAGCCACCCCGACCGTATTCGCTTTCCGCATACGGCCGGGTACGTTCATACGAACACCTTTGTGTCCTCGCCGTTACGCACACCGTTGGTACGGAAGGGACTGCTAAGTTAGTGGCTAAAGTTCACTGAGGTGTGCGAGAGTACTTGGTCTGGACTGGTCTCGGCGTAGCTGACAAGCTCTTGACTTTCTTGCCTCTTCTCTCTAGTATTCTATTCTAACCCTCACTCTTCTTGTCCAATTTTCTTCTCTTGCAAGAGCAATATTATAGCTGCATCTGCAGCTCATTCCATGTTTTTAAACGTGTGGACATTGCTTCAGGTGGAAGTGTTAGCTTCTTTCAAACCGATTCACGCAATGTACCACTCTTGGAAGAGTGGTGTTGATTACAGAGTGGGTGGAAAAGAAGTTCTCTGGAGTCCGAGTAATCGATGTGACTGATAGACCCTTCACGCAAAGGATTATGATAGATGATTTGTGGTTAAGTTGACCATAGGCCGAGGCGATTCTTCGAAGGATACCGGTTGGGAACTGGCGACTCCTCTCGTCCTTATCATTTTCGGCGAATCTCAACTTAGCATTTGAAGACCGCTGGCCTGCTGCTCCTTGCTCCAATCTCAGATGTAATGATCTTCCTTGGTGGCCTTGGACGCGCAGAAGAACATAGTATGGAGAATTACCCGCTTTCACGTAAAAGCATCATTTCTGTTCCTTTCTATTCAAAGCATTTTCAAACTGGCAGATGCTTTGGCTGGGTTGTGTAATGAGGCAGGGATTTATGAGTAAATCCAGCTTTGGCTGGGTTTAGTAGTGAGGGACATGCCATAAAGACGAGAGACCAAATCTTCAAGGAGATATGCAGCCATAAAACTAACAGTAAATTATTTATGGAATATCTTTATTTATTCTTCCCTTAACGTCCAGGGCATCATAGAAGATTTTCTGCATTAAGCTGTGAATAATTGCATGTTGAGTGCAACCCAGCCACACAAAAAGTGTTCTAGAGGGGTATCAAGAACGAAACAAAGATGTACGCTGATTACATGCAATGGGCCAGTTTAGCATTTTAGCATTCCGTGCTTTTCTATCGACAATTGTACATTACGTGAAATTCACAAGGCTTGATATATATCGCAGCAGTATCGTCAGTAGGGTTAACAATTCGAAGGTTAGTAAGGATTCTTGATGGAATGTAAAATGGATACGTACGTAGGATTTTCAAAATGTCTTCTGATTATGGGATACTGAATGAACCTGCCAATCAATCTGTTGGCTTCGTGTGTAGTCTTCTTGCTGTGATGATAGGCCATCAACACAGTTCAGACAGTACGCTACCTAAATGCGAGTGAAAAAATTTCTCTTCTTGTTATTATCGAATCCAGGGCTCTCTAGTGTTCGGTGTGCCTGATGTTAATGACTTAGCGACTGGTGTTTTAAAATTTTGATCTAGGCTTGTCTCCGTTGGTATGTTCTCATTCGTTCATTTCGTGAATTCCAATTTACGCTGAGCTATAAACAAAGCCCCAATATCTGTCATCCGCTTGCTGGAGACTATCAATTGTAAAACTGAGGTTTTATAAAACGAACATGTATTCAAGAGTTAATGAGCCAAAGGAATGAATTGTGCATTGATTGATATGAAGCCCCAAAGTACCATCAGTTACCTTCCGAAATTCCTGTTCCGAAAGAAGGTACATGTCAAAGCTCACCCTCACAGGCGACACAATACGGTCTATCCAGTGACGTTGATTGGGTTGCATGCTCACAAAAGTAATAATCATTCCGACATGGATCGTCTATATCCTTAGTGATAATTGGATTCATCAAAGTACAAGTAGTTTCGTATTTCGAAAAACAGTGGCTTGCTTTAAAACAACTCGATTGTAAAGCTTCCAATCGCGAAATGTAAGTGAAAGATCGTGAAACAAGTGAACACGCCACAGTAACAGTCACTTCTATGACTACCAGAGTTTTCAATTGAGTGCTCGGATATTGTTTTGACAGCGTTGTCAGTCGGAAGTTATTTGACATCGCATTATTTAACTTTGGGATTGACAGATACTGATGGGCCGAACAATTCGCCACCACAATACACAGCAAAGATAGCATCGACGGCACTCCGATATCACTCATCGTTGAGCAGACTACTGCAGCGTTGACATCATCACTTCTCAAAGCATTTGGCTCCTGAAGAAAGCGGACAGCAACAAGAAAAACGAGGGTTCGAATAGAAGACTAGAGACAGAAGATTCGGGAAAGCAAAGAAATTTAGTTGGTCTGGACATCCTCCGTCTCCAAACCAACCAGCTCACCGCAATCAAGTTAGCAGTCCGTCCGGCTGAAAGGTGTGACTGACGGCGAGCCCCGAACGGTGTTCGTATGAACGGCCGTCAGCCCGCAGGCATACGGTCAGGGTGGCTTTACTGGAAAGTCTTGTCAGACGGGCACACTATTACACCTGACTCAAAAGTCAACGGGGGACACTGACGTACAATGTGAGCATTCGCACTCCTGTCTCACACAGAGTGCACTCGTGCTCCAATGGCCCTCCACGCTCGGTGAGCTTCGTCGATGGAATACGAGCGATAACGGGAAGGAAAGTTTATGCACAAGAGACGACGGACACCGATTCAGCACCAAGCCAGCACGCAGGTAACCACATGCTCATCAGACGCGGATGAGAACTAAACTAGAAAATCGAGAAAAACTTTTAGTTTCGCTGATGGCAAGGTTTTTAGCCCGCACACACGTGATCAGAATCTCGACCATGTCAATTTGATTTCTTATGTGGAAACGAAGTACCTCTGCTGAACATCCCCACTCAGAAGCATCTGTACTTCGTCACTCTTAAGGACGCCTATTGTGATTCATCTGACGATTACTCGTCTTCTCATGAAATCATGTCTCTCTGCAGCAAAGATCTCAGTCATCAGAACTTCATTTCCAGATGCCCCGAAGCTGCACTCGCATGGAGAAAGTGCATTCATTGTGTCCGACTGACATGGAATTGGCTGTGCTGCTTGCTCTGTTCAGGGCGTTGTGGGTCCAATACTTTGCAGAACGTGAAGGTGGGATGCAAAATAGCCTGGGAAATACTGTCCGTCGCGATAATCACGGTTTGGTTGTCTGCTTGTTGGATTCCATATTGGTGGTAAGTAGCGATCATTTCACCCTAGACGTTACCTGTTTGTGAACTGCTTCTCTCTGAAGCTTCATGCCTAAACCTCTTGGGTTTTCTCATCCCATGATAGTGAACATCAATAGTTCGCTATCAATTCTAGATCATGTCTCTACAACAGGTCTAGATCTAGGTCTAGGTCTTTTATAAATTCTAGAAATTCTGATACTCAATTATCAGCAATGCCAGCAACAGTTGGATATCAGAATCCTCTAGCCATGACAACCCACAAACTTAAACTTAGACCAACTTGAAATAAGTTGAAATGTTTACTCATCTCCCACATCATAGGATTCCAGCCCTTAGAAAATTGACAAGATGTGATTGTGAACTCTGAAAATTATTGACAATGTTTTTAATTATGCAATCTCTCGTACACACCTCTTACCGTCATTCATGTAAAGGTATCTCCAATTAAAAGTACCTCAAGGCTCAAGGGATAGTCAGATATATCTTAGTACAAGCGGAAGATAGTTTTCCAAATTTGGGAATGATTTGTAAGTTGTCTTAAAAAAGCTGATTTACGAGATTACAAGCTCAACGTTCTCAACAGATGCTAATTACAGACCCTAATTACAGAGGACCACATTGTCCAGGCAAGTTGTCTGTAGGTGTGGGGCCATACGTTTTGTATGTCGAGGGAGCAGCTGCAGTCTACAACAATTACGTTGCAATGGCTGAGCTTGTAAGCGTTGTCATCGGCTTTGGAGTCGAGCTGTTGCTTCAGGGGGTGATCGATGAAGTCAAGCAAGCTGTGGATCGTAACAAAAATTGTAAGGCATTGCTCGTGCTGCTTGAGGGTTTGGCACCACTTGTGCAATTCCTATGTGATAGCTCAAAAAAAGGGCAGGGTCAGAACAAGTCAACGCCTGTAACAGAGTGGCTGGAGAAACTTCGATCCCGACTGGAAGAAGCGGATAAAGTGGTGCGTGAGTGCATCAGCCAGGGATCCAGGCCTTGGAACATCGTGAAGAACAGATCCACCTCGAAGAAACTCGTTGAAGTGACTAGGGGAATCACCGATCTTGTGGGGCAAGCACCGCTGGTTCAGCTGGGATACACAAAGGAGACTACTGACGAACAGAATAAGATACTGGCTGATCTGCAAGAGAGCATGAAGAACGCAAATCAATTGCAGAGTGATCTGATACACGAAGTTCACTGTGCTGACCTCTCTCGGATCACAAGGGTGACAGTCAACACCCCTACCGAGATCTTTGGCAGATCAGTTGGAACCATCACACTCGAACGTGCATTTGAGGATATCAGAGGACAAGCCGACGAGCACTTCTTGACACTGACTCAAGGTTCAGCAACCGGAAGTTCTGCAGATGTAGTTCCGTCTCCACAACGTCAGTTTGAACGCCAGATCAGCGCTCGGGTTTTTGGTGGCGATGAGCTTCTGGACTCTGCGAGATCAATTCTCCTCGAAGAAGAAGATGGACGTCGGTGGGTAGGGCTTTGGTCCATGGGTGGTGCTGGAAAAACCCTGTTGGCCTCAAGACTGTCAAATGATCTCCCACTGAAGCAACATTTCGAGGGTGGGATTTTCTGGTTAACAGTTGCTCGGGATCCAAACATCGAAGAGATTCTCCGATCTCTCTTGAGAATGCTAAGTGCACGCCTGCCCCCACCCTCCAGTTCCGAGGAGGTCTATGCACAGCAAGTATGCCATGAACTTCAACTTCGAGGGCAAAGGAAGAGACTGTTGCTGGTGTTGGATGATGTATGGAAGTCGAGAATTTTGGATGTCTTCGATGCATTTGTGAATCATCCATCTTCGTCTGGGAGCAAAATCTTGGTGACCACGCGCAGTAAAGAGTTACTGGACAGGAAACACGCTACGAAAATTGAAGTGCGCATGCTGAAACCAGAGGATAGCTTCAGGCTTTTCTGTTGGCATGCCTTTTCGGGTGTGAGCAACGTTCCGAAAAATTTACGCAAACCAGCTGAGGATGTGGCGGCAGAGTGCAAGGGGCTTCCCTTAGCCCTGAAAGTCATCGGAGGGACGATGGCCGGCAAGAGGGACAAGCGCATTTGGGATCATACGTTGAAGAAGCTAAAGAACGCCGAGACACTCAGCTCCGAGCATGAAATGCAACTCTTTCATCGCTTGCAACCCAGCGTTGACGATTTGTCCGAAACGCATCCTCATCTGAAAGATTGCTTCTACTACTTTGCTGCGTATCCCGAAGACGCAAGTGTCGAATTCGTGGATGATCTGATCAGTTTGTGGGTGGGAGATGGAATAGTTGGAGGACGGAAAGATTATTCCCCTGAGGATGAGGCTTATGAGCTTTTGGGCTGGCTCATTGCAAGATGCTTGATTGAGATGAAAATCGGAAGCGTATCTACATATCTAGAGTATATAGAGATGTTTAGGCTTCCTCCTTTTTCCATGACCTTTAAAGTTCACGATGTGCTCCGGGACCTGGCTCGGTACAACCTGCAACACGACAAGGTACATGAGCAGGTCTGTCTGTATGAACCGGGGATGCAGTTGGAGACATTTCCGCAAAAGTGGATTCCTGACAACAAAGTCGAGAGAAAGCATCTTTCAGCAAAAAGGTTGTCGTTGATGGATAATCTGATACACGAGCTACCGTCTCATCTGGCTGCCCCTGAGCTCCGAGTGCTGCTTCTGAGAAGAAACGAGAATCTATCGTTGCTGCCTCGAGGATTCTTTCTGGACTTGAAGCAACTGAGGGTACTGGATCTCAGCCGTACAAGTATTGAAGAGATACCCGACGCAGCCTTTAGCACTATGAAACGCCTGGTTCTTCTTAACCTCTCGCGTTGCGAACAGCTTAAGAGCGTCCCAGGTACTATTTGCAAGTTGGAAGAACTTCGGGATCTTCAATTAGATCATTGCAAAAAGTTGGTTTCGTTGCCTAGAACCATCAAGGATCTCAGAAAACTAGAAAATCTGAATCTTTTTTGGACTAACGTGTTGAGATGGGACAGGCCTAATGGCATGAGAGGTACTTTGTCGAAGCGGATTAAGCGTACCGCTCATCTCCAGGATGTAGCCTCGCTGACATCTTTGACAACGTTGAGAATCAGCAACCTTCCCTTTCTACTTTCATTCTATTACAGTGATTCCGATTCCGATTCCGATCTTTCACCTGAACCGTCACACCCGTTCCCTCTCCAGCTTAGTTGCCTTAAGAGCCTCCGGCATCTGCAAGTCAACTTCATCCGAGTTAGCTCTCTTCCTGACATTTCAAATCTAACTGCCCTGCAAACATTAGATCTAAGCTGGTGCAAAGACCTCTTGAGCCTTCCACTTGGAGTCGAGTCACTGCCAGAGCTCAGACGGCTAAATCTCCACAAATGCTCTTCCTTGACACATCTTCCTGCTCTTGATGAGCTTCCAAACCTCGAGTGTCTTCATATATCTGGCTGTCGACACATCAAGCAACTACCAAACTCTTTTGGTCGACCAGATGGATTTCCATCTCTCACAGAGCTGGACATGTACGCTTGTAAAGAGGTATCGATGGACGAATTTCCAGTGCTACGCTCGGGTGCTATGCCTGCTTTACGGATGTTGATGATGCACGGATGGCATCAGATGAAGAAATTGCCACCGACCTTGAATTCCCTGATGAAGCTGCAGTATATAAAACTAAGTTCGTGTTTTGAGCTGAAGAAACTGGACGAAACTTTCGACTGGAGCGTGTTTACAGACCTCGAGGAGCTCGACCTTAATGGTACCATTTCTCTTATTGAGCTCCCTCCTTCCCTCGCGTCACTACCCAAACTACGGATCTTGGATCTTCGTGAATGTGGAGCTGGTGATAATCTCTCTCCAGAATTCACTGTACTAGTGGAACAGAACCGGCTGATGATAAGAGTCTGACCGGTGAGATTTTTGGATGAGGAGCTGAAGACCCCTAAGTTTTGACTGATCCGTGAATTTGCCGTCACGTTCTTTTCAGATCCAAGGATAACACCGCACTAACTGTATAATTAGTCAAGTGGTGAGGACTTAGTGTATTATTTGGTTAAGTTGCGGGATCAGATTCCCAATGTAAGTCAACACCAAACCCTTAGATGTGAAGTTTGTGGCAACTACTGTATTGCTGAAGGGTTATTGGTGTTTTTTATGTAAATAAATACTCCATGGAATGAGACACGACCATAGATCTAAGCTTGCTAAGTGTGCACCAAATGCTGGATCTATGTGTCCAACTGCTATTGAAGGACTCATGACAAGAAAGTATTACCTTTACATGGATAAGAGTCAAAGTTATGCATTATTATGCATCCTTAAATATACAATGGTAAGGGTTTGAAAACTTATTCTTTTACAGATCAAGAATCCTCTCTGCTTTCTCTTAGTTAGGATAAGCATGATCAAAATGTCGAGTTTATAGAACGGAAGGTTAAATGCAGATGCGCTTCGGCCCTTTTCCTGCTAAGGGACTTGCTGGTTCCTCCCCGTTCATTCGTTCCTCTGGCTAGAATGATGCCTTTCCTGATCGTCCAGTAGTTGATCCGTTAGACGCTCTTGTCAGCTGGTTCGATTCGTCAAATTGTATCCTATGGCATTTGCTTTGCACACTGCTTCACCTTGTGCACGCTAGTCCGCAGCCCTTTGGTCACAGTATCTTGTATCCTATGAATTAGAAGTTGCCGTTTTGAATCGAAGGCCGGGAAGTGTTCGTTCAAGGATTCTCTCAGGTTTGCCGCTCCTTCCATTACCGATATCCTTATGGTGTAGCTTCTACTCTCAGAGATCACAGTTCTTGCGTTTCCTTAATGTCATGGATCCCTGGTTATTCCTTGCTGCCAGGTTAGTATCCCACTCATGCCTACTGTCGATTGATTCTTTTGTTGCCGTCTAGACTGAATTCGAAGGTCCAAGAAATGTGGGCGTTTAATCTGAAAGCAATATTAGTTTTTGAACATAGGGTTCGTGGATGAATTGAATTCTTGGCCGGAGGGACACTGAATGATTATCTATAACGTAGCCAAGACCAATTTTCATTCAAAGGAAGTGGATTTGACAGCCGAGTTTGAGTAGCCCCGGCAAGGTTTGCCACTAATCCCACGCATTGAATTCCACACTCCAGCGTGCACCCGTGATCACTTGATCACTTGCAAGTCAATATTAGTTCCAACGCTTCAACGAGGCTTTCGACTGGACAATCATCATAAACCTTCTGTTTAGCTTGTGTGAACCTATTTGGGGGAGTCTCAGTCACAACCTGTCATCAGTGAAACTGTCGTAGAGAAGGAATCGTCGAACAAAACAGGATTGAAGGAAATGTTCAACCAAAATTTGACAATCATTACTAAAGGAATCTCCTGATGACAAAATCAGATAGAATCAGGTTTGCAGAGAACATGATTACTTCTTGACTCGACCTTCGGAATTTCTGCAAGAGTATGAACCCCTAACGTGAGTGCCGTGGCCCCCAAGTGAACGCAGCATATAAACACATAAGCTCAACTCGTAAACACAACATTCAGACCTGAACAAAAACCTGTCAGGAAGAGGTCCACTTACCATTTACACAAAAACGGTTCTTTCATGAATTGGGATTGGACAAGTCAAGGTCTCAGTGATGATGGCACGATATGGATCACGGTCCGCACAGCGCCGACGAACGAGCGGGACGTATCTCCATAAGAACATCATGTTATATCCGAGTCCCAAAATTCAGGCTCTTAATGCAAGCAACTCATGCAATAATAACCGGTCCCCAATGTGTCCAATGTCCGTACCTCAGGACGTTTCTGCTGCAAAAACATTTGTCAGCGGCTGTCGGATATATTCATATTGGATTAAAAAGAACAAATAAAGTTGCGTGCAAAACAGGTCATGAACTCTATGTGAATCAGAACTTTCAGGTGACGAGCATGCCTACATGCTACAACAGCTACCATCTCTCTCTCTCTCTCTCTCTCTCTCTTCACTCAAGCCTACCACTATCTGATTAATCTATAGACGTATTCGATGTCTCTTTCTCCTACACAATTTCTTGTTCAAGACTGTCCACAGGCTATCAAAGTAGGCCAAGACACATGGTTTTCAGAACTTCCGGTTGAAGGAAGAGTGGTAGTGATGTGGGCAAATTAGACATCCGTGCATCATGCATCACAAGGGATGACACCTTTGCTGAAGGAGGTGCCTTCTAAGGTCGACCCCCTGATATGAAAACTTAGACACTGTCGGATTTCAACTCGTACTTTAATTTCGCTAATTGCATAGCAGAGAGGTGTTTCTTTGCCTCTCAAGAGGAGGTTGCAACTTTTGCGGTATTATTCGATAACAAATGGATCATGCACGATAAACTATTTCCAAGTTTTGCCATAAGAATCCTAGATTTCCTTCTACATTTGATACAGAACACGCACGTATGCCCCAAAGAAGTATTCTTCGAACGATTGATACCTGTACATTTAATATATCCCTATCGTGCATTCTGTTTTTCATTTTCAAGCTGAATTTACATCACTTCTTGTATGTTCGCTGTTAATTGAGATGAATCAATATTGATTTAAATTGAACAAGTAAGTCCAATAGGATTCGAACTTATGCTGGACTTAGTAACCAGCCTGGTAGCACTAACGCTGAATTTTTGTATTCCTGCTCCAACTTCTAGGTCTATTACCTTAACTTTACCGCATCTCTCACTGAAGTAGAAAGGTTAGCACTTTTAATACATCGAGAGTGATTAATATAACGCTATTGCAATCATCATCCATCAGAAATACATTCCGTATTCATCTTGTGTCCAATTACACAGTTTGATGGGAGTACTTCTCCACACATGTGTGGGTGGAACAATTGAATGTTGTTGTCAATAAGTTCACTGTTCATTTCACATGTTTAAGGGCAGAGGAATTCTGAAACATCCTTCTTGACCTCAAGGAATTCTGTTTCAATTCATTTCGTCAAATCTTTTCGACTTTCTAGCATCCGGCAGTGCACTGATCTGCAATGGCCTCTGTCGAGAATGTCAGTCTGTATGATTCAATTGAGAGCCCTCGTTCCCCCATGGACGAGCTCTGTTTTGTGCTTGACAGCTTACACACCTTCAAATATACATGTCTTCGCACGATGGCAGTTAGCATAAAGCAAATTTCATAGTCGAACACGTGAAGAGGAAAATGTTTGATCCTTTCTTTCAAAACATGAAATATTAGCGGTGGCTTATCATTTCCATCTTGAGCTCTGTGAATGTGAGATAGTGGCAATCCATCATATCTCTAAATGGATTGGTTCATAGCTTCTTCAAACAAGTCTAGACTTCTCATATATCCCTCATGGTTGTATTAGGCGATCTTATATATCGTGGCCTAAATTACTTAAATGGTCCCGTGATTAGGCGCCTAAATGGAGGTTGGTGTGATTTGGTGCTGCATGTTGCAACCAATGGGAAGGGGACACCTATTTAAAATTGATGGATATTTTGATATATTATTTCTAATTTAATGTAAAAAAAAAATTTAAAAAAATTTCTATATTTAATTTTTTTAGAGAAAAAACTTTAATAGACTAAATTACATTTTTAGAATTTAAATTGGCCTAAATTAAGTTTTTTATTAGACTAAACTAATATTTTTTAAGATACAAAATTAACCATATTTAGGTAATTTTGGCTAATATAACCATACCTGCATAAACCCATTACAAGAAAGAGGTAAACTGTATCCTCATAGCTCTTTCCCTTCTTCGGCAATATGTTTAACCGACGTACTTCAGAGCTGCTATTTTGAGACTTTGTCGTAATAGCCGCAAGTTTTGTTGAGAGCTTTGTTTACCTCTTCTGGACAATTTTCTAGAATAGTGGAGAGCACTGTTTTTGATTTGGCAGCGGTCTAGTGTCGGAAGAATTGTCAGCTCTGACAACTCCCCTAGGTGTAGCCACAGTGCCCTTATACAATAAAGCCATAGAAAGTTACGAGTTGCCGCTACTTACACACACAGCCAGCCACAGCGAAGCGCTCAGGTGGCGCTTACAAGACTGCAGGCTAGAACAACCCCGACCGTATAACTGTGGGCTGACGGCGTACGGTCACCGTCGTGACGGTCTGTCATTTGTCACCGTCGCACCAAGAAGTCACCCGTCGAGCGTTAACTCTCGGGATTCAAATTCGACACGTGTACAGCGGATGTGTGACACGTGTCGGCGCGATGGAATAGTGTGCCCGACAAGAGCCTTCGTGCGGGTTCATATTCTTGTATCTTCGGCGAGGATTCTCATCAGCAGTGTGTTCAACCCAGAGCGAACTATTCTTTCGCCTTCATTAAACAATACCGTGTGCGGGACACAGAAGCGGCTTGTTCAAATTTTGGAATGCTGCTTCTTTGGAGCACCATCTCACGAAACCAAACAAGGATATCAGAGCTTCTGAGTAGTAAGATTCATAAGTCAACACAGTTCGCGTACAAGTCCGGATCTTGTTCTCAGTGACACTAAAGCTTAATACAAATTACTTCTGGGAATTGAAAGACTCAAAAGAACCATCGAATGAAAACAAAAGCTGTCAGTAAAGAGTTTTGAACACAAAATCGGCAAAGGAGCCTAGGCGGCAAAGCGCTGAACACTATGTAATCGCGCTCATCAATGGTACGGGTTGATTTGTGAGACGTGATTTGCAATACACGTTCATGTCTAGCCTCGATCGCAGGGATGTTGCTTAAACTTCTCATTATTCCGTGAAATCCTCATTATCAGAGTGACTGCCTTGTCTGAGGAATCGAACCCACCCTAAACCCTCTAATCGACAAAGGAGCTACGAAGCAGCCAGCGATAAAGTGCTGAGAATCGGAGGTCATGTCAGATGCGTTGAACGGCTTCTAAGAATTTCCTCGAAGCTCTCAACCTATCTTCCGTGAAGATTCTCCCATAAGCACAAAAGAAATCACAATTGCAGTCACATATTTTGTTTCAGCAAGATTGCCTTCTTCATCAATCGATGCAGCCAAATCACTTAAACCACCAGTTCTGTCGGAGGTTCTAACATTCGACAACAATGACGACATTCCGTGCGCTTTTTAAGCATTGCGTTTTATTAAATGCATGTATGTGTACACATCGAAAGATGGACGGAGGCGGGCCAAATCCAAAATCTCTCTCCACCTCTTGAACACACTTGCCGAAGAGAAAGAAGCAACATTCTGTACAGAAAGACGGTTTTTTCTTTTTTTTGACTTCCCGAGATCTCGCCACCTCTGTGAGCTTGGACGGGAGAAAGGTTTGTCTAGGAAACGCGGACAGGACGGGCTGATCGGATTGCTGGACTGTGAAAGCCACTAGTTGTGCATCGACAGAGAAGGTTGACAGGAGAGTGTGATCCCAACTGATGTACCAGGCTCTTCAGTATACATAATTTGAAAAAGATAGAGATGTTCACCCTCCACACCGTGAGTTACTGCTCTAAACTCTCTAAAGATTCGAGAGAAGTTTTCTGTTTCCACTATGGCACTTCGAGGAAACCTCTTCTTCAGCACTGCCCACTTCAGTAAATTGCAGTAAGTCACCCATCGCCACTTACTGCAGCAATTAATCGATACTGATTTGATTGTAGACATGGGCACGGATGGTAAACATACACGTCTTA